CCTTTTTGTTCACTTTTTGGGCGCGTTTCTTTCAACGCCCCTGTGTTCCATTTGTATATGTGCCGTTCCTCTTCTTGCTGCGCTCCTCTGAAATCACTGCTGGGTGCTCTTCTTGCACACTGCGGGTCCTTCAGAATGCCGGTCAGCACTGGGTGGTCCTGAGTAGAATCGCCACATGTATAGAAAGGGTTGGGCACGTCACAGGGTAATGAATAGAGCAGTGTGGTCGCCCCGTCCTCCTCCTCCTCCTCCTCCTCCTCCTTCTCCTCCTCCTCCTCCTCCTCCTCCTCCTCCTCCCCTGAGTAGAATCGTCATCTGTATAGAAAGGGTTGGGTAAATCACAGGGTATTTTTTTCAACTTGGGAGTGTCGCAACTTTCGTGGGGCAATTGCGATCTGCGCACCTGTCGCAACTTTCGTGGGCTCCTGGGAGGCCCAGCGGAGGTGCGTCCCACGCGGACCACATCGGGACCTCGCCGCCCCCTGGGGGGCTTGTGATCTGCGCAACTGTCGCCACTTGCATGGGCTCCTGGGAGGTCCAGCGGAGGTACGTCCCACGCGGACCCCCTCGGGACCTCGCCGCTTCCTGGAGGGCTTGCGATCTGCGCAACTGTCGCCACTTTCGTGGGCTCCTGGGAGGCCCAGCGGAGGTACGTCCCACGTTGACCACTTCGAGACCTCGCCGCCCCCTGGGGGACTTGCGACCTGCGCAACTGTCGTGGGCTCCTGGGGGGCCCAGCGGAAGCACATCCCACGCGGACCACCTCGGGACCTCGCCGCCCCGTGGTGGGCTTGCGATCTGCGCAACTGTTGCCACTTTCGTGGGCTCCTGGGAGGCCCGGCCGAGGTACGTCCCACGCGGACCACCTCGGGACCCCGCCGCTCCCGGGTGGGCTTGCGATCTGCGCAACTGTCGCTACTTGCATGGGCTCCTGGGAGGCCCAGCCGAGGCACGTCCCACGCGGACCACCTCGGGACCTCGCCGCCCCCTGGGGGGCTTGCGATCTGCGCAACTGTCGCCACTTTCGTGGGCTCCTGGGAGGCCCAGCGGAGGTACGTCACATGCGGACCACCTCGGGACCTCGCCGCCCCCTGGGGGGCTTGCGATCTGCGCAACTGTCGCCACTTTCGTGGGCTCCTGGGAGGTCCAGCGGAGGTACGTCCCACGCGGACCACATCGGGACCTCGCCGCCCCCTGGGGGGCTTGCGATCTGCGCAACTGTCGCCACTTTCGTGGGCTCCTGGGAGGCCCAGCGGAGGTACGTCCCACGCGGACCACCTCGGGACCTCGCCGCCCCCTGGGGGGCTTGCGATCTGCGCAACTGTCGCCACTTTCGTGGGCTCCTGGGAGGCCCAGCGGAGGTACGTCCCACGCGGACCACCTCGGGACCTCGCCGCCCCCGGGGGGGCTTGCGATCTGCGCAACTGTCGCCACTTTCATGGGCTCCTGGGAGGCCCAACGGATGCACGTCCCACGCGGACCACCTCGGGACCTCGCCGCCCCCTGGGGGGCTTGCGATCTGCGCAGCTGTCGCCACTTTCGTGGGCTCCTGGGAGGCACAGTGGAGGTACGTCCCACATGGACCACCTTGGGACCTCGCCGCCCCCTGGGGGGCTTGCGATCTGCGCAACTGTCGCCACTTCCGTGGGCTCCTGCGAGGCCCTTTTGTGTTCACTTTTTGGGCGCGTTTCTTTCAACGCCCCTGTGTTCCATTTGTATATGTGCCGTTCCTCTTCTTGCTGCGCTCCTCTGAAATCACTGCTGGGTGCTCTTCTTGCGCACTGCGGGTCCTTCAGAATGCCGGTCAGCACTGGGTGGTCCTGAGTAGAATCGCCACATGTATAGAAGGGGTTGGGCACGTCACAGGGTAATGAATAGAGCAGTGTGGTCGCCCCGTCCTCCTCCTCCTCCTCCTCCTCACCTGAGTAGAATCGCCATATGTATAGAAAGGGTTGGGTAAATCACAGGGTAATTTTTTCAACTTGGGAGTGTCCGCCGGGCGCCGTCCCCGTGGGTGACCCTAGCTTCGCCGTAGTTCCTGGGGCTGGAGCTTCGGCGTTGCGGGTCATTTTGATTTCTGCCTTTTGAGTTGGGGGGTTTCGGGCTTGGAAGTTTCTGCTGGCATGCATGTCGTGGGTGGGAATTTCGGGTTCCCTGAAAGCACCCTCAGGACTATGACGCAAAGGCGAGGGATGACGAGGAGGAGGAGGAGGAGGATGAGGAGGGGGAGGAGGAGGAGGAGGAGGAGGATGATGATGAGGAGGAGGAGGAGGAGGGACAGGGGCAAGCGGATCGCGATAGAAACTCCAATATGATGTGCCCGCCCAAACTATCGCCAACCCACGACGCAGTGGACCTATGCCTCAGCAAGTTCGCTTCCCTTTCAAGCCCCCGCTCCCCTCCCGACGTGTCGTCGTGCAGATCGTTTCGAGGTGGGCCAGTGGGGATACGCGAAGCGAATCCTCCCTCCTCGAGCCAACACCCTTGATGGACCTCTGCCCCTCCCAGCAAGCTGCGACTCAAGTCTGGGGGAACGAAACTATGCTGGCACTGCGGACCTCCCCTTTCGTGAGCCCTGGCCAAGATCCCGACACGAATCCGGCCGCCGCGACGAGGGCCCCCGCAAGAAGCCCCCAGTGATGCGACAGCGAAGCAAGGGCACGTGGACCCGGCTGAGCTCCCGGCAACACCGTGCGGGATCTTCTGCCTGCTTCCAGCCCGCCCGCGTTCGCCCCCCCCCTTCCCCCCGCCTCCTGCTCCTCTGGAGGACGCTCGGGTGGCGCGCAGCACAAGCACCCCCAGGTAGCCCCGCCTGGCCTCGACAGGCCCCCCGAGCCGCCCAGGGCGGTCTTCACATCCCAACCCTGGGGCGCTCCGCGCCCCACGGGCGCCGCCGAAAGGCGGCGCCGTGGGCTGCTCGGGGGGACTGTGGATGCCAGGCAGGACCACCTCGGGGGCTGTCTGTGCGCAGCCCGAAGCCTTGCCACCAAGGGGCTCAGGAGCCCTGCGACCGCAAGTCGTCCGCGGGCCGCCCACCTCCCACCGCGCAGCCCGACGCGCCGATTTATCACCCCCGCGACGCCCGAGACGCTAGGAGGTCTGTCCACGGCAGGCCGCCGGACGGCGCGCTCCCGCACGGGCGCCGGTGCCCAGGGAGCCCGTGCTGGAAGGGAAGAGCGGACCATGCATGAGGATGAGAAGGAAGACTGGAGGGACCTGGTCTGGATGAATGAGGGTGAGGATGAATGAGGATGAGGATCAGGAAGTGGAATGAGGATGAGGATGAATGAGGATGGATGAGGATGACGACGGTGAATCAGGATGAGGATGAGGATGAATGAGGATGATGACGGTGAGCGACGATGAATCAGGAGGGACTTGGTCTGGGCCATATCAGCACTCCTGCTCAGGCCAAGAATGCACAGCGAGGGGAAAGCCAGAGCACACCTAAGGGGCAACCCTCGGGGCAAGCGCGACATCACGCTGGACCCGCTCCCGTAGGAGGCACAGGAGGGGAAATTGAGGAGGAACAGAAGAGTGGAGGGGGAGGGGGAGGAGCAATGCAGGCCGAAGACATCCTCGAAATGCGAATCAAATCACGATAATCATAATCACTCGCATTCAATACGGGCTCTGGACGCGCGACTTGGGGGAACCGTGTGCGATGGAAAGAAATCACAATGAGAATATGAGAGAGGACATCGTAGTGTCCGTGCATGTGCGTGTCACATGAGTGCATTATATATCCGCAGCAGGTATACCAGAAGTGTATGCATGCACAGCTTCACGCCTAAACTCACACTTTTACTTTTCGCTCGTTCCGAACGGCGGAATGCCCGCGGTCTTCTGGCCGGCTGCAACATCTTGCGGTCCCTCCAGGACGGCTCGATTCAAAACAGAAATCCCCGCCGACCCAATGACAGCTGTTGGTGGTGCGAACGCGCGCTTGGATCGCTTGGATCCACGTGTCGATCGCTACCCGATGTCTAATACAGCTGGCAATCTGCCTCTCGCCACGTTTTGAATATGATGGCTGTTTCCCGTTGCAAACGGTGCAAACATTTTTTTAGTAAAACCGCAGCCGACATGTAGTCTTACAAGCTATAATATTCTGTCTAAGTGGCTAGGTATGGCACCCGAACTCACGACTTAGACCACAGTCAGGGACGCTAAAGCAAGTCGTCAACTGTAGGTGGTGCTCCACTTTGCGTAATCACTGGACGCAAGCGTTGCGGATTTGCGGCCATATCTGAGGTGCCTTCTAACCTCAACGATGCATGTGCACTCGCATGCGACCATACCCACGCATACTTCTACACTAGCGCACATGTCAACATACACCCGCACGTGCACATGCGCACATGCACAAACGCCCACACACACACTCACACACACACTCACACACACACACACACCCTGACTTCGCATGCTCAGGCACGCTCTTCGCAATGCGTCCCACGTTTGACGCTCGTACTCACAAACTTATGATCCTATATGCACTGGCTCGCGCTGGTTGTAACCATGACCACACCCGCACGCATCAGTATACCCATATGCATGCATATGCACATGTCAGTATGCACCACGTGTGGAACACTATGCGCATAGTGGTATAAGACTGCTGTGCGGCGCAGGGGTATTATAGACGACGGCGGACCCTGAGCTTGCGACTTTGCCAGGGATAGCTGATCGATCCATCCTCTTGCCGAGAGCCTCGATTAACAACGTGTTTTCAACACGTACGAACAAGTTTCATGTTGGAACTTAGCTGGGTGAACATATCATATGTACCACACGTCTGGAAATCTAGACAGCATGGATAGAGAAGTGCGCGAATGAGCCAACGGGCCAGTCCCACAGCATACAGCAAGCCATCTTGACCCAGATGGCCGAACCACGTCAAGCTCCGTGTCTTTGCCGATGCTCCCTTTTGCTTACCGCTGGTGGACATTCCGCTGCTGCCCATGCGTAGACCAAGGTGAGATAAAAAAGGGACCAGCTCACACGAGCACTGGGCAGCGGCACACCAGGCAGCTCAGGCATATCGCCTGGGCGGTGGGGGAGGACGACGAGGACGGGTCCAACACGCGGATCAACGGCGATGCCTTTCTAGATCGGACGAGGCAGGAGGAGCTGCGGAGAACGCGAGCCACGCATGCTCGGCGCGCTGGGGCGTGCACTGCCTGCTGGCTGCCGCCTGGGATTCCGGGAGTCTTCTGCGGAGTGCACCCTGCCCGCGAAAAGGCTCCTTGAGAGCGACGCCCCTGCCACGGCAGCAGGCCGCTCCAGGAGGTCTCGAAGACGGTCTCGAGATCCACGCAGATGGCTCCACCGCTGGCATCAGAGCGCGAAAGAGCCCCCAAAGGATCCGCGGTGCAATCACCAAGCTCCAAGAGATCCTGCGAAGTCCCCAGAAGCTCTCCCCAAGTGGCGTCCGACGATGCCTCCTGCGAGGCTCTAGGATGCCAGCACACATGGAGCAACCAGACACTGTCAATGTTTTGCGCGTTCGAGGTTTTTCGCTTAATATGTCTCGAGGAAGGCTTCATCAGGGCCCAAGAAGCTTCCAAGATAGCCCCAAGACTGTCCCCAAGACGGCCAAACAGCTTGGCGAAGCGGCGCCAGACCGCCCATAAAGGGCTGCAAGACGATCCCGAAACCTGCCTGGACGGCCCTACGGTGGTCCAGCTGAGCCTCTTCGGGGGAGCTTGGGAGAACAACAGTCGCGCCCACAACGGCCTCGAGACACCCAACACGTCCCCAATAGGCCCCCAACAGGCCTCAACTATAAAAAAGCCTTCAACGACCCCCAAGGTACAAAGTAATCCACATGTGATGTTGCGGCTGCGCCATGCTACCACAACAACGCAGAGCCGCTTCCTGAACGACCCCAAGCTGGTTCAACCGAGCCTGTTCGGAGACGTTGGTAAACTACCTTGCATGCATTTCGATGAAGCGCTGGTACTGTGGCGAGCTTGCCGCACGCAGCGGGACGATGCCTCAATTCTTAATCACCTGAACCCTAAGGCACCCAAACATTCAAATCGCAAGCAAACGTGTGCGACGACGAGACAAGGTCTTGTGGAGGTCTACCTCGACTGCATTAACATGATAGCCAGCAAACAACGAAGTCGAATCGGATGGCACGGCGTCAAATCAGAACACGGGCTTTGAACCTGCAGATCTGCCCACTCCTGCTTGCTGGGGGTAAAAAGGCGTGTGAGACATTTGGCTGTACCTCTCTCCCTTTCCCCCTCCCCTGGTATCCAAAATTATATTCTGGGGGGGGGGGGACGAGCTCGTCAGCGCACTCCGGGGGCCTCTGGAACCCCCAACAAGCCCCAAGACAGTCCAACAGGGCCCAGACAGTGCGCCAAGACAGTCGAAGAGAGCGTCATGATGGTCCAGGGTAGCCCCACGATGATGCAAGGTGGCTTCAAGACGGCCCACGAGGCCCCAAAGACATCCCAAAAGCGCCTCCTGAGGATCGCCGAGAGGGCCCCAAGAGGCAAACATAATCCAATTCCATTGGGAAGCGTACATTTTCAGCACATTCGCATTTTACGTCTTGACAGCGAACACGACGGCCCAAGTGGCCTTTCAAATCGTCCCAAGACGGCTTATGATGCCTCCAATCAGGCCCCAAGACGGCCCAAGAGGGTCCAAACACAACCCCAGGGGCCCCTCAAGACGGCCCAAGACAGCCCCTGGAGGGCTCCGAGAAGGCTCCAAGAAAGCCCAAGAGTGGGAATACGAACTGACACTTCGAGCCTTTCCCACCAAGATGGCCTCTCGAGCCCCCCCGAGGCCGCCAAGGGTCCTCCAGGAGGCCCCAAGAAACCTCCAAGACGCCCCAAGAAGCCCCCGAGGCCCCCGCGGGGCCCCAAACAGCCTCCCACATTCCCCAAGAGTTCTCCAAGAGGCTCCAGAGAGGCATCCCAAGAGCCCCTCATTTTCATCCAAGAGGCTCCTGACCCAAGATGCAACTTCCACGATCGTCTCAAACACTGACTCCTTGTGTGGGTCGACGGAATGGTGTGAGCTACATGAATAAGACGGCGCTCGCTCTCGCGAGTAAGACACATGCACCACGACGTGAATGCCCCCCCCCACGAAAGAGAAAGGAACGCTGTGGGGCCCTCCACTCTCACAAACAACGAACGAATCATCTGGATCAGTGATCCGCTCGTCGTAATATGGTTCGAAAAAGCACACCATCATAATTGCATGGTAACCATCATCCGCCTTAGGACCCGGAGCAATCGTATTCTGGGCGGAGGCTTCGTAGGCTGCTCGGACGCTGCAGGACGCTAGAGGGACGGAGCAAGGAAACAAGAAAAACAAGACAAACATGAAAAACCATGTGTTTTCACGCGGAAAAAAAAGGAACAACTTGAAAAAGAGCGACAGTCACAGGTTTCGCTGCTTTTTCCTGTTTTTCCATGTGACAGCACAAGGCCTTTCATATTTTTATTGTTTTTCCTGTTTTCCCGTCTTCCGTTCTGCTGCGAGGAAGGGCCGTGGGCCGCTCAGAGACCCCAGGGCGCTCAGGGGATGGATGAGGAAAACAAGAAAAACAAGAACAACTGGAAAAACCTTCTGTTTTCACACGGGAAAAACAAGAAGAACTTGAAACAGAACGACAGTCACAGGTTTCGCTGCTTCTTCCTGTTTTTGTTTGTGAAAACAAGCGATTTTTAATGTTTTTCCTGTTTTCCCCTCCTTCCCTTCTCTTCCTTCTCCTCCCCCTCCTGTTCCTCGGCCTTCTCCTCCTCCTCCTCCTCCTCCTCCGTGTCCTCTTCCTATTTATCCTCCCCCTCCACCTCCTCCTACCCCCGCCAATCCCCTCTTCGGCTGCCATGGAGCTACCCGCGAGCATATCATAACTCATTAGCACGCGGCTCAAAGCGTGTGATCAAACACCAGCAGCCCGCATGGCAATTGTTCCTGCTTGTGTGCAAGGTGCAAGATCACGCCATTGCTACTCACTTGAGCATGCGCCCCCGGGAGTTCGCAGTGGAGCGAGCAGATCGGTATGCCGACGAATCCTTCTCAGTGGCATTCCACATCTCACAGAACTCGCCAACCCAGAAACGATGGCTTGCGGGCCGCAGAGAATTCAACGAAAAAGTTGGCGGAGCGAATCCAGCTGTTAAAAATCTCAGGAAGCTCCGACGGGAGGCCCTTCGCGCGTGTCGTCTCCGCCCTTTTCGTCCACTTGCGCATGTTGCACTTGTGGTTCTTTAAGTAAAACTTACCGATCAGGAAAATGTCACACTGCGGAAGAACGCTGCGTGGTTCTTTTGCACGCGCTGTTCAAAATGGCATGCGTCATCGTGGAACAGCAAATCAGCGCGGACGTTGGGCAGCCTCATGATTGCCTTGACGACGCGCAGCTTGTCCGCCATATTCTCGCTGTGGGAATGCTCAATGGCCCCCAACAGTAGCCGAGATTGCGGACCAATGACAAATTGCCACCCAGCAGTGCGTCCGCGCATCGCTGGGCGAACCTTGTCCTTGTTGGCGCACGAAGCAGTCCTCTCGTCCTCCCTGTATGCCAATTGCCTCTTCCGACCGCGCACTGCGGCTGGCTCTGGGACGTCCGCGCCGCCCTGGAGATTGCGGTGGGCATCGGAATGCCCGTCGAAGGCCAGCGTGCGCACCTCGCAGGAATGGGGGGGTACGTTAAAATTCTCTTCGCGTTCCATTGCGATGCTGCAGGGTACTCCACGTCGAAGGGAATCGCGTCCGTCGGGGACCGACGGGCCACTGATAATCCGTCCAGTGCGTGAAGCAAGTGGCCACGAAGCGAAATGCGACTCAAGAGCTCGCCCTCCTGCGAGCACCGTTGCTCATGAACGAAACGGTGCCGCGAGGCTGCTTCCTGCCCGGGGGCGTTCTTGGATCGCAGGAGCCGCAGGCGCGTTATCATACGAGAAGTCAAGCTTGTCGGTAACAAAATATACTCCGCGAGCCTTCACCTCTTCGAAACTCAAAACGTTGCGCTTTCGCTCTTGCTGCCAACCAAAATTCGGTCGGAAGGGTGCGCCGCCATTGCGGCTGTAATGCTTCTTTCGGCTCGTCCAAGCCAACGTGACAGTATCGCTGCCTAAGATTGTGCACTTGGCTTTCTTGTCTGGCGCCTTTAAGGGGCAGCCGCAGAACGCGCGCTGCTTCAATTTCGCAGCGTAATTCTTGCCAGCTGCCCCGCCCAGTCTGTCGAAGAGGCCCGTCGAGAACGACGCGTCGTGTTTCGACCCCGCGGTGTCCAAATGCTCGGCGGAACGCGGGCCTTGTCCAAGGCAGCGCGGCGGAAGGTCGCCACCGGCGTTTTTATCCGCGGTGACTGTAGAAAAGCTTGAAGTCATAATTGCATCCCTCTTGTGGCGCTTTCCAAGTGATTTATGTTGAGTCCCTTTGTTGTGTTTCCCAGAAGATTTCGACAATGAGACTTTCTAACCTAATCCGTTTGTAATGCTTCCCAACAGATTTACCTGGCGAGCCATTCCACGTGAATCCCTTTGCGGTGCTTTCCGAAACATTTCTTTTGTAACGCTTTCCAATGAAATCCATGTGTTGTACATTCCAAAGGATTTCTTGTGCGAGGCCGCCCATTGAACCCCTTTGTGTGGTGCTTTCGGAGGAATGCTTGCTGTGAAGCTCTCCAATGGGAAGCCCCAGCATTGCTTTCCAAAGAACTCCTGGTGTGAAACTTTCTAACCTAATCCCTTCGTAGCCTGTCCCAAAACATTCCGGTTGTGAAGCTTTCCAATCGAGTCCCTCCGTCGTGCTCTCCGAACGTTTTGTTTTTGGGTGACGCTTGCCAATCGGAACCCTCAGTGGTTAATTCCAAAGGGGTTCCTGTGGTGAGGCTTTGAACTTGAATCCTACTTTGCGGTGCTTTCCGTCGAATTTCTGGTGCGATTCTTGCCAATAAGAAGCCCCGATAACGCTTTCCCAAGAATTCTTTGTGTGAGGCTTCGCAGTCGAATCCCTTCGTAGCGTGTCCCAAGAGATTCCGTTTGTGAGACTTTCCAATCGAATCCCTTCGAAGTGCTTTCCGACATTTTTTTTTGTGTTTTTTTTTTGTTTGGACGCTTGCCAGTCGGAGCCCTCAGTAGTTATTTCCAAGGGATTCCCGTTGTGAGGCTTTCAATTGAATCCTACTTTGTGGTGCTTTCCATCCGATTCCTGGTGTCATCCTTTCCAATAAGAAGCCCCAGCAACGCTTTCCCAAGGATTCTTTTTGTGAGGCTTCGCAATCTAATCCTGTCGTAGCGCGTCCCAAGAGATTACGATGGTGAATTTTTCGATCGAATCACTTCGTCGTGCTTTTTGCGACGCTTGCCAATCTGAGCCCCCAGCAGTTATTTCCAAGAGATTCCCGTTGTGAGGCTTTCCATTTGAATCCTACTTTGTGGTGCTTTCCATCAGATTCCTGGTGTCATGATTTCCAATAAGAAGCCCAACGACGCTTTCCCAAGGATGCTTTTTGTGAGGCTTCGCAGTCTAATCCCTTCGTAGCGTGTCCCACGAGATTCCGATGGTGAAACTTTCCAATCGAATCCCTTCGTCGAGCTTTCTGGAATATTCCTGTTTATGACGCTTGTCAATGGGAGCCCGCAGTAGTTATTTCCAAGACATTCCTGCTGTGAGGTCTTCCAATCATTTTTTTTGTTGTGGTGCTTCCGAACAGACTCCTCGTGTGGTGCTTTCCAATAGGAAGCCCCAGTAACGCTTTCCCGCGTATTGTTTTTGTGAGGCTTTCCAATCGAATCCCGTCGTAGCGTTTTCAAATCGTATTTTTCTCGTTGTGTGTTTATGATTCTTCCTTATTGCCCGGTCGCAACCCCCCAGATGTACGATCTTGGGGTGGGGCCGTCCATCAAGGATCCTGAACAAAATAAAACAAATAACAAACGCCCCCCGCTAGACCTGTACCGCCTATCTCACCTGGCCCGGCATAGAAACGGAAAGAACGCTTCAGAAACATAAGCCGAAATTACTCACACCACCGTTCGTACTGGGAGCCTTGGCGTTAAGAGCTTGTTACGTCACCCCTTGCTCTTGGGAGCCTTGGTGTTCAGAGATTGTTGCGTTGCCGCCCGTTCCTTAGCCTTGGCTGGGCCTTGGTGTCAGGAACTTGTTACGTCACCGCTCTCTGCTGGGAGCCTTGGTCTTATCAGCTTGTTTACGTCACCGTTCGCTCTTGGGAGCCTTGGTGTGAAGAGCTTTTTGCGTTACCGATCGCTCTCTATTTGGCGTCTCTGGGCCTTCTTGGGAGTCCTATTAGGGCCCTTGTCGGGCCCTTGTGGAGGCCGCTTGGGAACCTCTTGGGGGCCTCTTGGGGCTTCTTGGGGGGCTCTGGGGGCCTCCTGGGAGCTTCTTGGGGCGAAAGGCTAAACTTTTCGGTTCGTGGTCCCCCTCTTGGGGCCGTCTTGGGGCCCTCTTGGGCCATCTTGGGCGCCTCTTGGGCTGTCTTGGCGCCCTCTTGGGACGTTTTGGGGGCCTCTTGGGCCGTCTTGGGGCGGTCTTGGGGGCCGAAAGCCGAAAAGCCTTGTATGCTAAAAATGTACCGTTTCCCGTAGGAAATCAATGATTTTCGCCTTCCGGTGGCCTCTTGGGACGCCTCTTGGAGGCCTCTTGGGGCTTCTTGGGGGGCTCTGGGGGCCTCCTGGGGGCGTCTTGGGGCGAAAGGCTAGACTTTTCGGTTCGTGGTCCCCCTCTTGGGGCCGTCTTGGCGCCCTCTTGGGCCGTCTTGGGCGCCTCTTGGGCCGTCTTGGGGCCCTCTTGGGCCGTTTGGGGGGCCTCTCTGGAGCCTCTTGGGCCGTCTTGGGGCGCTCTTGGGGGCCTCTTGGGCCGTCGTCAACGCCGCGAAAACCGACAAAGCGCATATGCTAAAAATATACGTTTTCCAATGGAAAATCGATGACTTCGGCCTCTTGGGGCCCTCTTGGGACGCCCCTTGGGGGCCTCTTGGGGGCCTCTTGGGCCGTCTTGGGCGGTCTTGGGCTCTCTTAGTCTTAGAGCGCTCTTGGGCCGTCTTGGGGGGGAACCCGAAAAACATGCAAAACCCTAGGGAAAACCCGAAAACGGCAATTAACACGCAGTTGTGCACGCTACCCCCCTCCCCTGGAACCCCTCCCTTTAGGGCTTCGCCCACACCAGAACGTCATCACTCGTACCTCGCTCTTTCCGTTATACACACATATATATATAGAGAGAGAGAGAGAGAGAGAGAGAGAGAGAGAGAGAAAGAGAGAGAGAGAGAGAGGGATAGAGAGAGAGAGAGAGAGAGAGAACGAGAGAGAGAGAGAGAGAACAAACACAGCGAACACTAACGTACACATAGACGCACGCACACGCACACACATGTATGTATGCATGCATGCATGCATGCATGTATGTATGTATGTATGTATGTATATATATATATATTATGTATGTATACATAGAAAGAGGGAGAGAGAGAGAGAGAGAAAACGAGAAAGAGAGAGAGGCAGTGAGAGGGAGTGAGAGCGAGAGAGAGAGAGAGAGAAATGGAGAAAGAGAGAGAGACAAATAAACAAGATAACTATAAAGAGACAGGGACAGAGAGAGAGAGGAAGAGAGAGAGAGAGAGAGAGACACACATATATGTATATTGAGGAAACAGTCAATCAACCATGGAAAGAAACAGACATACATGTAGGAACGAATACATACATACATACATACATACATACATACATATATATATATATATATGTAGAGAGAGAGAGAGAGAGAGAGAGAGAGAGAGAGAGATAGAGAGAGACAGAGCGAGAGAGAGAAACAGAGAGAGAGAGAGAGAGAGATAGGACAAGAGAGAGAGAGACACATATAGATAAGTAGGAATAGAGAGAGAAGGAGAAGAGAGAGATAGAGAGAGGGAGAGAAAGAGAGAGATAGAGAGACAAAGAAAACAATAACTTCGCTGCGCTGGCCCCAACCAGGAACGCCGGCAGCACCACGGCGAGTCCGATGGTCTGGCGGGGCGCGAGGAGGCGGGACTTGGGGGCAAAGAAACATGGATGAAACTGCTGCTGATCCCGCTGATGCTTACGAGGATGAGGACGAAGAGTACGTGGACGTGGCGGAAGAGAAAAGATACTAAACATGTAGCGGCTTGGGACGATAATCTGTTTGTCAGGCGACCTAGCAAGTCTGTCGCGTTCGGGTCTCGATGACCCTATATCACGTATGGCGGGCACGCCAGGAGCCTGGGGAAGCCGAGATGGCGGCATCAAAACCATATCAAGTACGGTTCGAGTCTGGTGCCTCGACCACTCCTGTGGTTCGCTGACGTCCCAACAATTGATGGAGCAATTTCCAGCGCGTCGCACGTGCCGCGATTCGGTGCAGTTCCTGCTTGCCTTGGCAAGCCGCAAAGACTTTTACCTCATAGACCACCCTTCGGGTGATACAAGGGACTTTTTGGGTGAGGGTTGATGTCCAATATATAGATGCCACTGTATATATATCTATATATGTACGGTTTGTCTGTCGATGTGCATAAACATGCATATGAACATATATCACTACCCTTCCAACTATCTCAATGTGTCTATGTATCTGCCCCTTTATGTGTAACCATGTGTGTGTGTGCCGATCTATGGTGTACCAACCGGCCTTGCTATCAATCAGTCCCACTGTCTAGCAACCGATGATATCGCCAGTAGTGTAAAAATGTCATAGTCACGAAAGTACAAACATGCATGTCCACCAATTTACTTGTACATTTATGCACACACACATCTGCAAATCATATGCATAAACGTAGACATATACATATACATATACATACGCATATCCATGTACATTTAAACGTATGTATGTGTATATATCTACACACGCATGACACTAGAACCGAGCGCGCTACGAGCGCCCTCAAGTTCTAATCACAACTGTGCCACGGATGCCACCTCTACCACCACCACCACCACTCTCGCTACCGCTACCTTCACCATGACCTCCATGGCCACGACGACGATTACCGACGCCTCCATCGCCGTGGTCGGCGCGGCGAATCTCGCGGGTAAATCTTTCAGTGTGGGTGGGTGGGTGTGGGGGGGGGTGCGATCGCGACTGCCGCTGCTGCCGGCGGCGCGCGTGCACATGCATGTAGCTCCGCATTTACGTCTAGGGTGTCAATGAGTGCAATCCGCCTTGGTGCCAGCGTTGAATGTCGGAGGCATCTTGGATGTTCGTCGCGGTTTCGTGGACGGCCGCCCTCCCCTTCGCCCTCCTCCTCCCCCCTTCCTCCTCCTCCTCCTCCTCGTCCTCTTCCTCCTCGTCCTCCTCGTCCTCCTCCTCCTCGTTCTCGTCGTCCTCCTCCTCCTCCCTCTCCACCACCTCCTCCTCCTCCTCCTCCTCCTTCTCCCCTCCAGGCTCTTCCTGCTCCGTAGCCTAACCTTCTTGGCTTGCGCCTGGAGCCTGGCTTCCGCAGTTGTTTGGTCCAGGTTGGTGCGGGCGGTGCAGGCGACCAGCTGGGCAAGTGTGGTACCGTCAGCAATCGGCCGACGGCGGCGTGGAACATGGCACTGCCAGGGCGGCCGTGGGAAATGACCTAGTTAGGGGGAGGGCGAAGCATTTCGGGCCTTTCGGATAAGTGTCGATCTGGCGCCTAGCTGCACCAACCGTTCCCAGAAAAGCGCGCGTGCCTGGCCCGGTAGCCCGCGCATGAGGCTGAGCGGTGCGCAACTTCCTGGGGTTGATCCTGACACGGATTGGGAGTAACACTGGCGAGGTATGGGTTGTGCGTCAGGAGGCTAGCGCAGGGTAGTCAGAGAGCGAGCGTGGGGGAGTGAGAGAGCATGAGAGAACTGCTTTCTCGATTCGGTTTCGCGCCCGTTTCCGATTCGCCGTGCATGTCGACGTGTCTATTGCCACAGGCTCCGCATCCCAGCTGATGCGTGGGTCTGCTCGCTTGTCTTGACGTCTCTTAAGCTGTGACCCGCGCGGCTGGCATCCCAACTGATGTCCGCGTCGCGCTCCTTGCCGGGCGCCGAGCCCGTTCTTTGCGCAGGCGGCCCACTCCCGTGCATCCGAACTGGTGCTCGGGGGCTGAGTCGGGCTCGGAGTGTCACGTCCCCGCGCTGCTGATGTGCTCGGCCCGCTCTAAACGGTGCTTGATGTTCTTTTCCCTTCTTTCCGCCTTTTGCGGGGCTCGCACCGCGCTGCGCCTGCTCTTGCTGTATCCGCCCGCTCGCCCAACTGCGGCTGGGCTGCGAACTCGCTCGCAGTTTCCATAGCCGCCACGGCCCAAAATGGACGCACTAATCGCGGATATTTTACACGCTGATGCGCGGGCCATCTGGTTATCAGGAATCCGTGGCCTTCGGGTCAATGTTGGCTTCCTGCGAAAATCAAGTGCTCAGGATGAACTCCTCCATCGTTGGGAACACGGGTGGCCGCTTGAAATTGATTCTTCTTTGAGGACCCGATGTTGCCATAACCGCCCACCCCTCTCGTCACGGGCCCGGTAGGCAGACACAAAGTTTAAGGAGAAGGGAGGCGTGCCAGCCGACCGTTCTGAAGAAGAGCGCATCAAGTCCTGACTAAGCGATGTTTAGTCGAAGAGCGCAGTGAATCGGTCACTCCCTGACCTCCCAGTCTCGTACTAGACGATCGGACTAGCAATCTCCCGCATGAGACCGAACGGTTGGCTTTCTGTGATTGATCTTTCCGACGTATTTTACAACTGGCGCGTTCTCCCACAAAACGCGTTGTGGTTGAGCTTTCATTCCCCATCCCGGGATCAATGCGGCCGCTATTTGTTCCTTCCCTTCGGCGTGAAGACCGCCCCTGCGATAAACGACGAGAGCTTGAAATAAGTTCGTCGTTCGCTGACGATGCGCGACGGCGTCGTGCTTGCGGGCTTCGTAGACGACAGTCTGGGGGACGGAACGACCGAAATGGAAGCGTGGGACAAATTCCGCGCGGCCGTTCGGTCTCTCTTGGGAACCAAAATACCCGTGTCGACCAAACCGGAAGGTCTGAAACCTCCGGCTCAGAAGCAGACTTGACATGGTTGGGTTGTCGATGCAGTTCTTAATGCTCCGTCCGTCTCCCAGCAGATGTGTGACAACTGCCAGAGTCAACTTGTAGCCGCGCTGGCTGCCGACAGCGCGGGCCAGCTGCGGGCCTGGGAACTGGCCTCTGCGGCTGGTCTCGCTTCTCCAATTGCTAAGGTGTTCTTGCAGGGCCGCCGCTGGCCGCGTCATTTGCGGACATGTATGAACGCCTCGAATGTGTTTTCGCTCTGGGCGACAAGCGCCTCCGCGAACCCCGCCGCGCTTGACCGTGGCAGCGCGGGAACAGATCGAATGGTGGATCCGCGCCTTGGCTCTCGTTCCAGAGCGCCCGCAGGGCGCATGTCCCCGTCGGGCCCGAAGTCGCGTGAATTCGCCAATTGGCGTGTTCACGCGGCGGCGGGTTGCATCAAGGTCGTTGATACGGATGCGTCAAAGCTCCACGACTGGTCATTCAACCAATGTAGCGATGGAAAAATTGTTTCGGGCATTTGGTCTCCCGGCTTCGGTTCAGTGGCCCAGGGCGCAGGGGCCACCAATTGCAAAGAAGTGCGGGTCGTTGTAGAACTACTTCGTGGAGATTCGGACTGGCTCCGCGGCTGAGATGAGTCGTCCGCACGGACAACGAACCTGCCCTGCGTTGCATCGAGTTCCAACACGGACACGTTTTTGTTCGGCGGCCCGCAAGGAAAAGTCCAGAGGGCGTGTCAATCAACGGCAATGGGGCGCAGTGCCAGATAATTCGTGAGGGCCAGGCCACGCAAGGAGGAAGCCGCCAAGAGGGCGCCAACCGCACGTGCAACATGCAGAACAGGACGACAGCAACACGGACACGTACGCAGCCTCCGTGATCTAGCGGACGAGCTAAGAGCTCGCCGAGCGCGCCGCTGGGTGCTGTACCTCGGCCCCGTGCGTCTTTCGAGCTCGGCCAACGTCATTGAAGGGGCCCCAGGACACACAAACAAATACACACAATACTCCCCATATTTTCCAATATTTTTGAATTTTTCTCTTCCCCACCACTTCCAATATTTTCCCATATTTTCTGGGGGATCGACGATTGATTGTGTCTGTGTGTTTTTCCCCTCCTGAGTTATCAGTGACGCAGGTTCACGTGACTCTTCGTTCGCAGCCCTACGGGGATGCCGCACACAGGGCGTGGCATTCTGCGCCCCTCTGCAAAAGAAGTGGGGCCCCTTCGGTTGCGACCTCTTTTCGGATCGCGGCGGCCATCCGTCCCTCGCCACGCTGTGGCACCAACCAGAGCGCTCCGCTTTCGGAGCAAGTGTCTGAGGCAATCGTGTATGGGCCTTCCCGCCGAAGGCTCTCGCTGGCCAAACCTTGACTTCCCTGCGCGGCAAAGCCCCTGCGCACGAGTCTGTCGGCAAGCCTTTCTCCTCGTAGCGGAGGACCCCGGCGCGCCGTGGCATCTCGGGAGCGGCCAAGTGGAGTTCCCTATGTGGCCACGAAGCGCTGTGCTGGGTGGGGGAGACGCATGAGGACGCCGCCTCAGGGGCCTTAGGTGGAACTCCCTATGGGGCCACGAAGCGGTGTTCTGGGTGGGGGAGACGCATGTGGGCACCGCCGCTGGGGCCTGAGGTGGAACACCCTATGGGGCCACGAAGCGCTGTGCTGGGTGGGGGAAACGCATGTGGACACCGCCACTGGGACCTTAGGTATAACTCCCTATGGAGCCACGAAGCGCTGTGCTGGGTGGGGGAAACGCATGTGGACACCGCCGCTGGGACCTTACGTGGAGCTCCCTATGTGGCCACGAAGCGCTGTCCTGGGTGGGGGAAACGCATGTGCACGCCGCCAGTGGGACCTTAGGTGGAGCCCTCTATGGAGCCACGAGGCGCTGTGCTGGGTGGGGGACACGCATGTGGCTCCATATTGGGTCACGAAACGCCGTACTGGGTGGGGGGAACGCATGTGGACACCGCCACTGGGACATT